ACCACACTCTGTAACACTTGTATGGGTGTGTTCAGAGGGATTTGAAAACGGTGGACCTAACCAACAAGTTGTGAGGCATAAACGTTTGTTCTCATTTGTTTCAGGCGTATGCCGTACAGGGGGTGGGAAAATGTATGATTTTCTCTAGGGCTGCCCCCGACTAAAGATTTTCTTAGTCGACTCTTAGTCGCCATTTCAAGCCGTTTAGTCGAATAATTGTCGCACTTTTAATGTATTTTTTGGGGGCATCAGAAAATGGTTTGAGTTCCAGGGTGAGGGAGAGTGTTATAAAAGAAACACTGTTAACATTGTGCTACTTTACAGGGATACTGTAGTTTTTTTTTGTCATTTATGACCTCAAATCAACGTCTTCATTCATAAATAAGTCCCCATTGGTGTACAATTATCATATTATTATATGTCAACAATCTCACTTATCCTCCTGAGCGAAGAATCACTTATCAGAATTTACATAGGACGGGCAAGCTCTATGGAGGCTTCCATGTCCTTCCGGTCTATGAACTGCCGAGAGGGACAAAAAGCACTACGTGGTACAGGTAAGGCTAAACGTGTTTTCACTCAGAGCCAGTGTGACTGTGGAACAGAGAAGGAGCTTAGCGAGACGCGCTTGTCACTTAAAAAACGATATAAACATGAGAACATAATCCACTATCTTGCTCGAGGAGTAATTACTCATACATGCTCACACGAATGATTCAATGCAGTTTGAAGTTTGTTTGAAATAACGTACCCAGTGCTCGAAGTGGGCCGCTACGCACCTTCGGGGCCAGGGGCACTTCTACATTTTACCCTTTAGCGTACCGGCACTTTTTCTTGCGTACCGGCACTTGTCACAGGCTGCGGTCGTTGGTCCGCGGTGGGTTAATATCGCGCGCACCCCCGTCGGTCGTCGGTCCGGGGTGGGTTACGATCGCGCCCCCCCCCCCCCCCCCCCCGTCGCTTATATGTGAAGTGGTGGTGTTTGAAGACATGTTATCATGTTGTCATAGCTTCTTGAATCTTGACTAATACCGCTTGCCATAGTTCCAACAGGTTGCAACGAACATTTGAAAACGCGAGGCGCTAGAGAGCTTAAATTTGTTTGAATGCAAAATACAATTTGACCACTAGATGGGAGTAAAAATTACACAGTGTCCCTTTAAAGATAATACAAAAATGTAATAATGAGCTTAAAAATATATAATTTTTAAAGCACACGCACGAAGCGGGCCACCTATTAACGGCATGGGCACGCGGTTCTGAATGTTGTCGGAACAACCAGAATGGAGACATTGAACATGTTGTTCATTTTACTTATACACCATATAACTGCACACATTTTTATTTAAAAGCAAGCAATTGCAATAGAGCTTGACGTTTGTCAAAAACAAATGGAAACAATGTTGTTCATATTTTCGTGTCCGGTGCGTGTGGACGTATGGCTCTCCATCGGGTTAGGTTAGTGTTAGGGTTAACTCAGGTGTAACCCTCTTCACACCTGGGTTAACATGCGTCTTGGGTGATCCGATCACAAGTGGACAGCTCTCAGTAAGTCAGTTCACACCTGCCGTTAGGTTGCGTCTCCAGTGACCACTTGTAATCGCATCTCACCTCCCTGCTCTACAATGCAAATAAAAACGTACATCATATCTGTTTGAAGACCAAACACATTGTTGTAGAAGAAGACAAAATCAAAACCATACAGACTGAGTCTATTCCTTGCCATGTTGCAGGCAAACTATATCGACCAAGACGTTTGACGCTGTCTAGTATATGTCTGAGCTTTTCATTTCCGCTTGAAAAATAACATAATATAATAATATACGCCATTTGGCGGCGACAAAATGCGTGGCAGGAGGCAGCGATGCACTCATTCAACAAAGAAGAAGAGATGATCAAAGCAAATCGACCAGAATGTCTGATGTTGTATTCATTTGCGATGCTTGTTGCGTTTATTTTTATGTATTTAAAAAAATATATGTAGTCTTACTTTTTGCGCGACTAAGCGACTAATGAAAACTAGGTCGACTAAACCTCTTCCGATCGACTAATGGTTAGTCGACTATTAGGGGGCAGCCCTAATTTACTCTAAACGATTACCAGTTGGTCTAGTTTTTTTGTGCATGTGCGCATGCGTCATCGCACGCCAGACCTGTCCGTCTAAAATGCAATAACAGAGCAGAGAGAGTACTCCGGCTGCACTTCACAGCACTATTAATGTCCATTTCCTAGTGCTTGTAATAATACATAAAATGTCAAAAAACGCGTAACAATTTGCTCGGTTCTGCCATTGTCTTCATTTGAGTGTCAAAAGCTTTTTTGCGTGCAAGTATTTTGAACATTACCATGGTGATTAATGCAACAATGATTTAGTTACAGTATAACACTTTATTTAACATTTCATTTATAATTTACTAGGGATGTTAACAATTAACCGTTTACTCTGCGGTGCGTACAGCGATGCGTGTCCGACACAAGAACACACAATTAGTTGGTTTTATAGGCTATATTGTATAATTTGAGAGACATTCGTTTGAGGGACAAGTCAACATTGTTGATTGTTATTATTATAATTGTTAACTATTGTATTTAGTTTTAGCCTATATTATAGCCTATCGTACAATTTGATTGATTTGCATAATTTATTTGGTTTGTTTCAGACAGAACACACCTATAACCGCGATGATGAATTCAGTTTCCCCCTTCTGATTCATAATCTCAATAGCTCATTGAGAGATTGTTATTTAGATTTAAACTTAAAAAAAATATAATTAAACTTCCCAAGCTAGACAACGCCTGTTTTGCACATCTATCTAATCTGCGTCTCGGTGTCATTGTCCCTTGTGTGCGCGTACAATCGAAGCAGTTGCACGGTTGGGAGTATGGTATATGGCAGGCAGGGCTCCAGAGTGCGACCTATTAGGTCGCATATGCAACCCAATTTATTAAGGTGCGAGTTAAAATTTAATGAGGTCGCTCCGGTGCTACTTGCAGGAGGACGAGTGAGGAAAAAAAAAGTTTATATATATATATTTTTTTTCATTAATCGCGGCTATGTTGGTGCATTAATGGTTGTGGTTGATAATAAAATATTACTTTCTGGCTCATTCCTGCGAGTCCCATCTCTCCTCTCTCTCTCGCTCCCTGTCTCTGCCTGTCTGTCTGCACACGTTACGTGCACAGTCGTGCGCGCGCCCGTACACGCAGCGCGCTCACTGAATGATCGCGCTAAATTAAAACATTTTAAAAAAGCAGATATGAAGCGGTCGATAGTAGATTATTTTTGCACCAAAGCATGAGTGTCGTACAGTCCTGCCGTGGACGGCTGGTCTCCCCCCTTCCCGTGGGAACCTCCGAAAACGGCGCCGCCGCCTCGCACTACGCAGCGCGGACAGCACAGTTCTCCGACTCAGCTTCGGGGCCGTGGCGAGCGCTTGCAGGTGCGGCCCGATTACTGCAGTTTTCTATCGGCCATCTTGGTTGATCCTGCCAAGCAGTGTCTCCCTGGGGGGGCTGCGGGGGCTACAGCCCCCCTCACATAGCATCAGCTGGGGGGGCTGCAGCCCCCCTCACATAGGGCTGCTATCACCCCCCCGGTCGGACATTACGATCGCACCCCCCCCCCCCCCTGAAAAATATGGTGCTACCTAATTTGTTTTGGTGCTACTAAATAAAAAGCTAGGTGGCAACAGTGCTACCTGTGAAAAAGTTAGTCTGGAGCCCTGATGGCAGGGGTATTCAACTAGAATTTCAAGAGGTCCAGTGAGAGACAATTTCCTCAAGCGAAGGTCTGGAACATCATAATGTCAAACATTATGAATTAGTGTGATGCGGCAAAGACATTGTACAATGCCAAGATTACGACATGTGCATCTGATCACCGCGTCATTGCGTGTGTGTGGGTGGGGAAGTGGATGATCTTACAAACTCTTTGATTATGTCAACCACTTGAGGCAGCGCCAGGACCAGGACCAGGACCAGCTCCCATATTTGGTCATGATTAGATTTATATGGTGTCTGTAGTGTGAATTTCCCTTTACTTGAACACTTTAATTAAACATTTTCAGAATTCATTTTCAGATGTTTCGTGATCATTTTAGCCTCTTCTGTATTTCCAGATTGTAGTGTGGATCATTTACTGCAACATTTAACCAGATTCTCATGTATTACTGCTGGACAGATCACTTATGCTACTGCCCACTGACATGGTTTTACAGCTATTGTTAAAATGCACATATTTAGATCAGGGAACGAACCCCCCTAGCAAACTCTGTTTTTGGACCTCGGTATTTCTAAAACCCTGCGTACGGCCCTGAAGTATACATGTGTACTGTCTCTCCCTGTCTCCCGCTCACTCGTCTCTCCCTGTCTCCCGCTCACTCGTCTCTCCCTCTTCTCTCCGTCTCCCGCTCACTCGTCTCTCCGTCGTCTCTCCGTCTCCTGTTCACTCGTCTCTCCCTCTTCTCTCCCTGTCTCCCGCTCACTCGTCTCTCCGTCGTCTCTCCCTCTATCCCGCTCACTCATCTCTCCGTCTTCTCTCCCCGTCTCCCGCTCACTCGTCTCTCCGTCTTCTCTCCCTGACTCCCGCTCACTCGTCTCTCCGTCTTCTCTCCCTGACTCCCACTCACTCATCTCTCCGTCTTCTCTCCCTGTCTCGCTAACTTCCCTTCCCACCTGTCTTTCATCTCTCTCATCTCCGTATTCAGAGTCGCGCTTTTGTTTCCACAAATTTGATTGGCTGAGCAGCGTCACGTGGGACGCTTAACTCGCATGCAATTGGTCTGTAAGGTCCGCTAAGCAAATGCCGTAAAGACTAGAAAAGCTGCGCTGGTTAAAATAGAAGCGCCCCGTCACAATGTAGAATCCCTTAATAGTTTATTGATTATAGGTCTGGGTCCGCATAGGACGGCGTCTGGGTCCGGACCCGGACCGCGGTCCGCCTGTTAGTGACCTCTGGTATATGGTATATGCCGGCTAACGGAAACCCTGACATCGACACTTGGCTAGGAGGAGCCAGGGATCGAACCAGCAACCTTCCGGTTGCCAGACAACCCGCTCTACCTCCTGAGCCACTGCCGCCCTAGAAGAGGAGTTGATGGTGGTGGTGGTGGGGGGGTGCTCATCTTCCAGTCTATTTGTTTTTGGTAACCTGGGACCTTGTGCAGTGCTACTGTCTGTAGGTGTGCATGTGTAGATCCTTACCCACATAGTACGGCGTGTAGCATGGTGTGGCAAGGGAGTTGTGTGTGGTGGTCTCCTTGGCGAAGCCGAAGTCTGTGAGCTTTAGCAGTGCGTTGGGCTTCTTGGAGGTATGAAGTAGGTTTTCAGGCTGAAAAATTAGGAGTGTTTTTAAAATGACTCATTAAGTCCTTAACAAAACAGTAGAGAAAGTCTTGTATGACATGACATACATAGCTTTGATTTGGTACGGTATATTAAAAAAAAAAAGGCCAGGCTTCGGTATAGAGCAACACAAACCTTAACGTCTCGGTGGGCAATATTGATTGCATGGAGAAACTGGATCGCCTCTCCTATATTTTTCATTATATCAGATGCCTCTGAATTGAAAGAAACACTGCCGTCAGCAAACATGTCACACTCTATGAAGTATATACATGCATGTGGGCAGTGGCACATCCTTGTCGATTGTCCACTTCAAAACTGTCGCATGGAGTTTAAGCCGTATCACTTCTATGTTTCTGAACACATTGATGGGACCACACCGTGGTAATTTGTTTGCATGGATGTCTGTTCAAATTAAGTGAATACGCATGCTAAACATGACATTTCTAAATTTCTCTTAGTAAAATAGCAGTACAAGCAGTGTGAACTAGGTACCTCTTTCCGTGAAGGCCTGGTCTCCCCTGTCTTGAATTCGACTGAACAGCTCTCCCCCGTCCATGCTGTGGAAGACAGACACGGTGAGCTAAAATCATAGTAGAAAACAGCCAGTGAAAACGGAAAGGAACTGACGAACTCACAGCGTTTTGAAAAAGTAGAAAGACGTAAATATGGACCCACACACACACACACACACACACACACACACACACACACACACACACACACACACACACACACACACACACACACACACACACACACACACACACACACACACACACACACACACACACACACACACACGTTTCCCATACATTGATTTATTTGTGGCGGCCCGCCACAATATCAACATTGACCACATATTGATTTAATTTTTTTAACTATTTAAAATGGGTAAAATCTAATTGTAGAGCTGCGCGCAGCGCATCAGCCCCTCCCCCCGCTTTCGCTCTGTCTTGGACCCCTCTGTGAATAGCCCCTCCTCTCCGTGAATAGCCCCTCCTCTCCGTGCACACAAGGTTTTCACACCTAGTTCGTTTGGAGCATTTGTTTCGAACCCTGGAGCGTTTCTGCCCCAAGTTCGGTTTGTTTGGGCTGATGTGAACACAGACACCGCACTAGGGTGCGGACTAAAACAAGCGCACTCTGGAGCAGTTCCTTTGCAGTGAGAATGCAATCCGACCCAACGGACCAAAACAACTCACTAGTGCGTCTTCGGAATAGAAATTGTTGGGTGAATATGTCACTGTATGCATTATTTAAAGTGCGCCTTCTCCTACTGAAGTGTCTCGAAGCAGCGCGTCTTCATACAAAAACTTTCGTCCGTCATTAAAGTTTTCGGAACAGGTTCGATTTTCAGCGTTTTTCGCATCCATCAAAAGCAAGAGCGAGGTTTCAGTGCGTAACGATTTTTATCGGATGACGGATTAAAAAAACGCATACGAAAAATACGGACTTGGTGTGCAAAGGCCTTTATTGTGATACTCGTACCGATATCGCTGGTATAACAACCACAGAATCGCGACAACTGCAATGAGCTTGTGAGTTTGCTCCATTTTCAATGCGTTACTCCGTGTTTTTCTTTTCAGAAAAGATAGTGATGAAATTCCCGCCCGAAAATTCTGACCAATGAGGGAAGAGTTTGCTCGCACGTGGCGTTTGTTTACCAATTTTGGTCCGTTTTTAAATATTGCCGTATGAAAACAAACCAAACCAAGGTGCGAGTGCAACATGGTAACACATTAGTCCCTGATTCGGAGCAAAGCAAACGGACTATAGGTGTGAAAACGCCCAATGTTCATACGCAGGAAGGATTGTTTTTCCCGCGGAGAAGACGGCTGGCTGAATTCCCGAACCAATGCACAAATTGGTCCAAAACTGATGCATTTAACATGCATGTAAGGAGCCTAGCTAGTAAGGATAGCTATAAGTTAAAGTTAGAATACAACTGGGTTGTTGAGGTTAGCATGCTATATATATATGCTGTATATATTGTTCGGTTATTTGTCAAAGTACTTGCCAATTAAAATATACAGTGGAGCACCTTATATACAGTGGTATTATTTAAGCCCCCGGGGGGCTACCACCACAAATAGAATCTGATTCTATGGGAAACACCACCCACACACACACACACACACACACACGCGCGCATGCTGATTCTCATTTCCTGAGAAGTAGTAAGCTATATTAGAACTGATCTGGTGAAAGCAGAAATGAGTTATCATTTACAGCACGAGTGTGTTGGTGGGGGGGGGGGGGGGGGGGGGGGGGGGGGTTATTGTGTGATTCGAGTGGAAAGACCTTCTCATCAGAAATGAGCACGTGCAAGATGTAGTTGAAGGTTTGGTGGTTGGCGGTTCTCTGTAAATGTCATGTAGAGAAAACGTATGGTGCAAACGATAAGCACTTTTAAAAGAAATGGGTAATTTCATGTCACATACACAAACATAGGCAAGATACCAGCCCAATGTTGGCCATATTCATATAAGTGTCACTGAAACAACCCTTTTTCTGTACTGTAGCCATGCTATTGATAGAAGATATAAGCTGTTTTCATTTTCATTGTGAAACAATGTAGTATGTTGTAATTACCTTAACTGGATGAACTGAAATGGCCGGATAGAAAAATAACGATGGAAACTGCTTTCCTAATAGATTTTGACAGGAAATCTTACAAAAAATGAAAGTGACTTTGTTCTTTATAGCCAAAGTTTCTCAGTTCCACACAGTATTGAACTTCACAGAAATGAATGAAGTCGATGGTCCAGACATCCCACTGAGGCATCCCACTGTGGGTTGTAGACCGGATGAATGTTGTGATTGTGTACAGAATAGCTGAGAATCTAACTTATTATGTGTGCATAATAGCTGTGTGTCGGAATATGTACAAACATGCATGTAAACATCTAAATGCGTGTGTTCTAGGGATGTTCATGATTAGTCGACAAGTCATTGCTGCACTTGCTAGTCAACAGCAGGAATACTAGCCTGTCAAATGCTCTTTGTTTCTGAGAAAAGCATTTCTGTCGTTCATACATCCATGGAAAAACCATAAATATATGAACAAACTCGCGCTCCTGCTGAAGGACTGAACTCTGAAGCTGCGCACACAGTGACTCACAGTGCTCAGCTCACCCGGTCTAGTCATTTCCACTTCACAGTAAAGAAACCATGATCATTTACTTGGCTTACCTTTCTTTACCGGCAGGCTCATTTGGTCACAGTAATCAGATCGAGAAAATTAGCCATCATACCCCGCCCACACACACACACACACACACTATGTAAAGCGCTATATAAAGGCAATGAATTATAATAATTATTATTTTATTATTAAAATATATCTAAACAACAGCGTTCATGTTATCACGTATTGACAGACAATGATTTATTTTGAAGGATCATTTAGATTTAAACTTCCAAAGCTAGACAACTCCTAACCGTTTGGTCCCCCACTTTACAACAATTCAACTGGTGCGATGCGGAACACATTCGCTATGGAGAGCCGACTGCAGTGATGCACGTCGTCATCGCAAAATGCTTTAGCCTCATTGAAAATAGGATTTCATTATAAAAATATGATCTTAAGCATTTCAAATGGCTCTTACAATACACACAATATGCTTTCCCGACCATGTTTGGCCTCGGAAATTGTGATGTGCTCAGTTTTTATAGATATGTAGGCATTTTCTTTTTTTTAAGACTAGTCATTCACAAAACATCTGGTTAACCGTCAGGGAAATTAGCAGAGATGGGGACTTGAGTGATTGTGACTTGGACTCGAGTCGACTCGAGTCGCTGTTTTGATGAATTGTGACTTGACAAAAAATGAAAGACTTGAGACTCGACTTGGAAGTTAAAGACTCGGGACTTGACTTGACTTGAGACACGATGACTTGACTGTTGTTGATTTCGTGTTTTCAGTTTTAATATAAATATAAAATTAATATCAAACATTACCCGGTATGAGCGCAGGCTGAGAATGGCAGTGTCATGATTGGATCAATACCCTGTCATTCAGTCATGCCCCCTCTGCCTACCTTACGTGTGTATCGGAGAAACACGCCCTCTGATATCAGATCAGTATCAACATGTCTCACGCCTCCGCGTCGTCCATTCATTTCTGTTAATGGACACCTCGTCGGGCATTATCCCGCTTATACCATGGTCACTTACAAAGAGAGATATTTAATCAATTAATAATACTTTAATGTGTTTTAGAGTTGAAATTATGGGGGTATTATTGAGACAATATTATTTGTGTGTGCGTATCTCAATCTGTGTGTGTGTAATAAGATTTGTGTGTATTCACATTTGTGTGTATTCACATTTGTGTGTGCATAATAAGATTTGTCTGTCTGTATTCACATTTGTGTGTGTGTAAACAAATCTGTGTGTCTGTATTCACATTTGTGTGTGTGTGTAAACAAATCTGTGTGTCTGTATTCACATGTGTGTGTTTGTGATAAGATTTGTGTGTCTGTATTCACATTTGTGTGTGTAAAAAAAATGCGTACTGAGATCTGTAAATGTCTGTCATCAGTTATAACTCAGGCGGGAGCTCTGATTGGCCGTCTTTTTACACGTGGATTTTGGCACACTTCTGCCGTACAGATCTGCAAATGCGATCCGTGTGTAAAAACGATTTGTCTGTAACTTCACGCAATACAGTCCACGCACCACTAGTCGGCGCGTAGCACCCAGTGATGTTAAGCGTGTCATTGTCATGGG